TTCATGTTTGTTTGTGCATACTGATGGGTTGAGTGTCAACATGCTCCAAATGTGTGCACCATAAATGCACCACCTGCACCATGCGTGTGTGTGTGTGTGTGTTCGCGTACCAAGAAGGTCCATGAGCTCCTGCGAGAACGAGTGATCATCCGGGATTTTGTATCTGTTGGCAGTCGCATGCACATGCAGTATCTTGTGAGCACACAATAACACAGCAGTCACGAAACTCGGGTGCACACGCACAACACGCACGACATGCGCAACACGCAACACACAACACAAGTACAAAACACGGCACACAGCACACATAAACACAGTGCACAAAGCACAAAGCACAGCACGCACAACACAGTGCACAAAGCACAAAGCACAGCACGCACAACACAGTGCCCGCACCGGCCGTTCAGGACGGAGAGCGTGGAGTCCTCAAACGCATCAGCGAAGAACATCAGCTTGTACAGCAGACAGCCCAGCGCCTGTGAACACACACACAAATGTGCCCAGTGACGAGGTGTCAGAAATGTTTCAAACCACACCATGACAAGGCCAAATCACACCCCTCTCTTCACCAAACACACACACACACATTACATTATACATACACGCGCGCGCACGCACGCGCGCACACACACACACATATTACACACACATAACACACACACACAAACAACACTGAACCCCTCTCCTTTCTCTTCAAGTCGCGTACCCAGACGTCAGCGCGGGTGTCGATGGTGCGTTTCTGATATAGGTCGATCATTTCTGGTGCACGGTACTGCGGGGTTGTGTACCGCCCGATTTCCTCCTCCGCCAACGAAATGGCCATTGTCTCTCCAGGCACAATCACCTGCACACGCAGCGAGGGGCGTGTTAGTGTGTGTGTGTGTGTGTGTGTGTGTGTGTGTGTGTGTGTGTGTGTGTGTGTGAGTGTGTGTGTGTGTGTGTGTGTGTGTGTGACGTCGCTCTGTGTGCATGTGTCCGTTTTCATCTGCGCACGTGTATCTGTACTGTCCTCACCTTTGTTGTTGCACTGCCAAAGTCACACAGCTTGAAGCTGCCCTTGTTTGCGCCCAGCAGCACATTCTCAAGCTGTACAC